TGCAACTGATGCTACATGGAGTAAATGGGCTGCACTAATTACACAACGAACTCGAATAGGAAATCCCAGTCGTCCAGGCATTCTAGAAGTCATCATGGACTGGCCAGAGGGCAAAGATTTCGGAATGTCACCAGAGGAGGAGGTGGTGCGTGCTGAAGAGGCCCCACCATATAATAAACTGTCAGAAAGTGAAAAGCAGTATGCCTTGTTTACTGATGGCTCTTGCCGTATTGTGGGAAAGCATCGGAGATGGAAGGCAGCTGTATGGAGTCCTGGACGACAAGTTGCAGAAACTGCTGAAGGAGAGGGTGAATCGAGTCAATTTGCCGAGGTGAAAGCCATCCAGCTGGCCCTGGACATTGCTGAACGAGAAAAGTGGCCAGTACTTTATCTCTATACTGACTCATGGATGGTGGCAAATGCCCTGTGGGGGTGGTTGAAGCAATGGAAGCAGAGCAACTGGCAACGCAGAGGTAAACCCATCTGGGCTGCTGCACTGTGGAAAGATATTGCTGCCCGGGTGCAGAACCTGGTGGTGAAGGTACGTCATGTAGATGCCCATGTACCCAAGAGTCGGGCCACTGAGGAACACCAGAACAACCAACAAGTGGATAAAGCGGCTAAGATTGAAGTGGCTCAGATGGACTTAGATTGGCAACATAAAGGTGAATTATTTTTGGCCCGGTGGGCCCATGACACTTCAGGCCATCAAGGCAGAGATGCAACATATAGATGGGCCCGTGACCGAGGGGTGGACTTAACAATGGACACTATTGCCCAGGTTATTCATGAGTGTGAAACATGTGCTGCAATTAAACAAGCCAAGCGGTTAAAGCCTCTTTGGTATGGAGGACGATGGTTGAAGTATAAATATGGGGAGGCCTGGCAGATTGACTATATCACACTGCCACCAACCCGCCAAGGCAAGCGCCATGTGCTTACCATGGTGGAAGCAACCACCGGGTGGCTGGAAACATACGCTGTGCCCCATGCCACTGCCCGGAACACCATCCTGGGCCTTGAGAAACAGATTTTGTGGCGACACGGCACCCCAGAGAGAATTGAGTCAGACAATGGGACTCATTTCCGGAATAACCTTATAGATATTTGGGCCAAAGAGCATGGCATTGAGTGGGTATATCACATCCCCTACCATGCACCAGCCTCTGGGAAAATCGAACGGTACAATGGGCTGTTAAAAACTACACTGAGAGCGATGGGTGGGGGAACTTTCAAGCATTGGGATACACATTTACCAAAGGCCACCTGGTTGGTCAACACCAGAGGATCTGCCAACAGGGCCGGCCCAGCCCAGTCAGAACTTTTACATATTGTAGAGGGGGACAAAGTTCCCGTGGTGCATATGAAGAATTTGCTGGGGAAGACAGTCTGGGTTATTCCTGCTTCAGGTAAAGGCAAACCCACTCGTGGGATTGCTTTTGCTCAGGGACCTGGATATACTTGGTGGGTAATGCGGGAAGATGGGGAAGTCCGATGTATACCTCAAGGGGATTTGATTTTAGGGGAAAACAGCCAGTGAACTCAATTGTATGCTGTTGCCTGCTGTGTAATGCTTTTATAGCCCATCAACTAGATGTCTCCAGGTCACCAGCGACTGGCCCTGACTTCCCTCCAGCCATCATCCCAACAGAGAATGAACTTGGAACATCATGGACCGAATGGACTCGGCAGCATTATAGGGATTGGTCCATGCACTAAGAAAATGATTTTTTTCCTCTTGGTCTGTATGTATATGGATGTATATATGTGGGAGAGCGATGGTGTATTGAAAATGTGGGATCTGAGCACGACGTGAATGGTATGGAATAAGGGGTGGATAATGTCCTGGGTTCAGCAGTAGCAGTCATGTTTTTTTCCTTTGTGTTAGCTGGTGCAGTGCTGTGTTTTGACTTCTAGTTTTGAGAACAGCGTTGGTGAAGCCGATGTTTTCGGTTGTTGCTAAGTGATGTTTACCCTGACCAAGGACTCTGTGAGGCTCATGCTCTGCCAGGGAGGAGGGGAAGCTGTGAGGAAGCAGAGACGGGGCGCCTGACCCGGGCTAGCCGGGGAGGTATTCCATACCACAGCACGTCATGCCCGGGGTGGGGGGTAACTGGGAGTTACCCGGAAGGACAGGAGCTTCCGGGTGGAACTCGTTTTCTTGGCCGGTGGTATCGTATTCTCTTCCCTTGTTATTTTCCCTTATCATTGTTTTAGCTGATAGTAGCAGTGGTGATTTGTTGCTGGACTGTTCTTGTCTCAACCCGTAGGAGTTGCACTCTCTCGATCCTCCTCCCCGTTCCTCCGGGAGCGGGGAAGGGGAGAGCCCCGGTGCAGGGAGGGGGGGGGAGACGAACACGGACCTTGATTGTTGTCAGCTTGGCACCACTCACTGGGAGTGAGTGAACAAGTTACCTGACTGGGTTTAAACCACGACATTAAGATATCCAGAACTTGCTATTGGAGACTTGTGCACCAGGGAAGCATGCTTCCCACAAGCTGCCTCATGTTCTTGAGAAAACACAGAGGTAGGAATAAGAGGTGGTCTAGTAAAAGAACTGCACACCCAAAGTAGTGAAATAGCAGGAAGAGGGGAACTATTGTACCAGAAGGAAACACTTGAAATTATTAAATCCCAAAGAACAATCCCCAATCCCCCACTATGAGCTAAACTCATATGCTAAAATTAATGTTGTTTGACATCCAAGGTCTACAGTGATTTTCTATACATATAACAGGATTTGATAGCATAAGTGGATGTGAAAATGGAAAACCTTTTCTTTTTTTTTTTTAGTTTAAAGATTGTAAAAAATATTCTAAAGTTACAAAACTCACTAGGAGAAAAGAAGCAGTCACATGAACATATAGGCAGCTCATCATTTACAGAGAATTCACACAAACTGCAGTGCACGGATGAACCTCTGGACCCGCAGGGATCAGTTTGTGACAACTATACCATACTGATTAACGTCAGTTAACTTACATGAAAGTGACTGAATATTCTATCAATATTTTACACATATATCCAGGACAAACTCCTTGACAAAATGTGAAAATCCCACCCAGAAAAATGGCTCCACCTTACCAATGGCTAAAGTGTTCCCTAAATATTACAGAATAAATTCTATCCCACTTCATGTTCTGGAAGTTTCCACAGACATGCATATCCTGTTTTTAATACCCAGCAATGACAGGCAATTCTTCACCACTGCTGAAAACTGCTAGAGTTGTATAGTGTTGCTCAATACAAGAGTACAGAGAATTTACTCAAGTTCATTTAAATCAGGACTCTGTTGCTTATGCTCTGAGGGAATATTGGAAAACACTGTCAATTGAATATTTCAGAGCTTTCGTATCTTTAGAATTTGTCATTCATAAGATGTCATCATCTTTACTGTGTTATTCTGGAAACTTACTTAGAGGTAATGAGCAGGAAATTTGGCATTACTTTCAACATCATTCTCCACAATTATTTCTAAATCACAGTACAAAAATATTTTCCCACTCTGTGATTTATGCAGCTTGTGCTCTTCTGCACTTTCTGATGACTCAAAATTTCAACAGGCCCTTATGACATTACTTTCAACTTTCTATGTGCAGCTGGAGCTGGTGGACCACACATTCCAGGACTATCTGCAGCATCATATTAAGAACTATTAAGTTCAGTTATGTGCAGAATCAGCATATGCAGATTTAGTTTTCTAACGTCTATGCCAAGTCCTGTACTTCAGGATTGAAGCAGATTCAGTTTGCAGTAGTTGAAGATGAGCTGTCATTCCTCTTTTATGTCTTGCTCCAGTGACAACTACTTTGAAAATAAGGAAAAGTTACTTGTGATCAAAATCAAAGTGACTTGCTCAAGTGTCAAAACCTGCACAAGCATCAGTCTCTGTTTCTCATTAGTTTCTCATTAGTTTCTCATTAGTCTCTCATTTCTTATGTTTCTCATTTGAAGGAAATAACTGTACTTCTAACAGTGTTTAGATAGCACCTCATACACCATTCTGCTGTATATTAAGAATTTCTGGGTATTCAGGTACTTGCTTTGCTTGAGCTCTCCTAGGTGACCGAGTGTAAACATGCTCTAAGTAGCAGCATAGATGTTTTCATCTTTCAGAGCCCTTAACACTACAGAAATGGGTTACAATTTGTGAGCTAGAGGTCCTGCTGCACTACAGGGTCTTGTAAAGAGACAAGACCACTGAGGGACACCAGGAGATTCTACAAAGAACACATCAAGGGTGATGATTTGTAATTTATCACTTAAGACCAGGATGCTATGTGAGCACAAAAAACAGTGTATGGGGGGAGGAATTAACAGGGTAAACCTTGCTCTGATACGTCAATTGTTCCCATAAAGGACAAAGTGCTTAGACTTAACTGGGTCTAAGTAGAGGAATCATGACAGAAATGGAATGGTGTGTCTCAGAAAGTGTACAAGGTAAAAAATTAGTAGATAGCATGAACCATAAGATATTGCACCCCAATAACATGCAGTGTGACATGGTAGAGAGACAGGTGATAGAGCACCCACAGTGGTGCTTGTGTGTAATGAATAAGATTTAAGAGTGGTAAACTCAGATATTGCTACAGTGTGAAGAATTACAGAACTGCACATTAATAACAGTGATGTCATTATTACCTAGGTCATTAAACTGATTTATGAGATTATTAATAGCGGTTTGGTTGTTGAATCACCATTAAAAACTTTCATCTCAGGCCTGCAGTCAAAAATTAAGGCCATCAGGTAACAGCTAACCTCTCACCTCCGCATCCTCTGAAGGATATTTCGGCATTAGATGTATTAGTCTGCCAGGTCCTCAAGGACTGTAAACCTCTGTGGTTTTACCGCTGATTTCATAAATTTTCCCTTGAGAAAAATGGCACCGTTTCATTTTAGCTTGGTTATCTGAAGATTAGTTTGTGAATTAAAGTTTCAATTTAAGTAATCTAAATTATTTTTAACAGGAAAAAAAATAATGAAAAGTTAAAAACCAAACCTTAATTAAATCAGTTTCTCCTCACATGCACAGGCAAGCATGTCAGATTTTCTCCTGCATGCTAGCACTTGTCTAAGCCCTCAGCTCTCGTGCATTGCTGTACGTTCGAGTGGGTTTGTGTTGTGTTGGACAAAGCACAATTCCTCCCTTTCCTCCTTTAACAGCCTTGTCTGAATTTGTCTTGCACACCACCCTCTGGGACTTTGCCAGCAGCCTTTCTTCAGGGCCAACGCTGAAGAGCATGTCACGCAGCCCCTAAGCAACATTCCCAATACATTGTCTTTACAGAGAGGGGATTTGGGGTTTTGTTTGGGCTTTTTTCCCCCTTTTCTTAAAGACCTTTGCTGGTGCTTGCAGGGATTTTTCCCCACGGCTGCCCAGCCTCAACAGCTCTCCGTGGCAGACTGATGGGCTACTTCCCCTGGTACCGCTTCTCACTTGCCAAGCCTGGAAAGATTTACCAATTAGCTTTACGGATGTAATATTACTAATTTTAAAATGAGACAGACTCCAGCCTTCCCACTGTCTGCTCCTGCGCCGGTACGGGCTTTGCGCTACACTTCTCCGGGGATGAGCCACCTCACTAACGGAAAGCCTCGGCTCAGCCCTGACCTCCGGCGGGCCCAGGGCCCGGCCGCGCTCCGGCCGCCGGGAGGGACGGGGGTGTCGGCGGCCAAAAGCCGGTCTCCGACGCCCACCCGGGGCCGCACCGGTGCTGCCCGCAGGCCGCACAGCCCCGCGCCAGAGGCGGAGCCAGGGGGAGCCGAGGGAGGGCGTGCGGCGGTTGGGTTGGTGTCCATGGAAACCAAGCGCACACGGAGCACCGCCCTCCTCCTGGCCGGGTCGTCGCTGCCGCCATCATGATGCTGCTGGGCCGCGGGATGGACGCCAGGTAACGGGCCGGCAAGGAGCGGAGGAGGCCCGGAGGCGATAGCACCTCCGGGCCTATTGCGGGTCTCTGCCGGTGTCCCGGAAGGCTGCTCTGGGGGTTCCTGTGGCGGCGGCAGGCTGCGCCGTCTGGCCTTCTCGGGCAGCGGAGGAGGCCCGGGCGCAGTCAGGGTACCCCCTGTGCCGCGGGGGTCGGGGGCGATGCGGGCCCGTTCCTCCTTAGTGCAGCCACCCCCCTGAGTGGGGGAACCGCCTCTGTTCGCCTCAGGGGAAGGCCGCAAAACTTTTCTGGGATTAGTGTGCTCTGCAGAGATACAGGTTTAATCGGGCCTCTCTGATAATGTTGTGGCTACCTCTCAGTGGTCAAAAATAATGAGGAGGGAAAAAGCCCTTTTCACACCCCCACCTAAGGAAATTTAGGGTTTTATGCCCCAAAATTAAGTATTGTTTGCATGGGAGTACTGTGAGATCAAAATTGCAAAGTAGGTGAGGAAACGTGTTCAAGGCTTCCCCCTGGGAGAGGAATGCTTTCTGACAAGACCTTACAGTAAAGTAGGAAAGATGTACTTTTTACTGAAGATTTTATTAGATGGTACTAACTTTGAAATACAGCTTTATTAGTACTTAACGAGACTCTTACCTTCCCACACACTGGGTGAAACCTTTCCTATTCAAAGGGTTCTGTGTTCAAGCATTCCCTGGAGGACTGAACAACTTGTATTTTTGTGTTCTTTGACCAAAATCTCTTTTGAACAGTCCTCTAGACTGCTTGCCAAGAAGTAACACAACCAGGGTTTGCCTGTAGCAGATCTTTGGCATGAAGGATTTTTTCTGAAGAGTTCCTGCAGAAGGGTGTTCTTCATTTGAATTCACTGCATTGTTGCTTTGTCTTAAAAGTATTAAAATTTGGGGTTTTTTTTTCTAATACTAAGTCAGTATTTAAATGTTGGCCAGCATTTGGAGCTGGGATAGCTTAAGGATGTGAAAGAAGTTTCTGTTTCTGTCCCTCACCATGACAGTGGTACGAGTGAATTCTGTTGCTGAGAATTCCAACACTTGACATGAATTGCCTCATGTAGACCATAGAAGCTTCTGAGGACCCAGTATCTGGCAGTTACTGATGGCTAAATTGTCCTGTAGTTGACTCAGTCAGACCAACAACTGGCATGAATTCACTGACAGTGATTTGGTTTAATAGCATCACTGAAGCATAACTAGAACAAGACCATCAAGTGATTCAGGAATAGGAAAGCAAAATACCAAGTGAAATACGTGAATTAAAAACTCAGAGTTAATTATTTAGATCATTAATAATCACAGAATGGCTTGGGTGCGACGGAACCTTAAAAATCAGCTAGTTCCAACCCCCCTGCCATGGGCAGGGACACTTTCCACTGGATCAAAAGCCCCATCCAATCTGAATCAGTCGGGGCTTGAAATACACAGCCATTTGGTTCAAATAAGATGAATGTTCTTTCTGTGTTTTTAGAGTTTTCAACTCTGTACTTGTTTCCATTCACTTTTCTTCTGTAATTCTTAGGTATATTTACCCTCTGTAGTGCTGACCAGGAGCAGTTTAGTACCTGTTCACAATCTAAAGAACATTTAATATCTTTACATATTTGCCCTCCACTGCCTAATTTCTCCAGCCATTGACTTGTCTGTTTACATTGCAGACTCTTGCAGGAAGTTGTGTGGCCCACTCTCCTTTGAGACCTGCAGGCCTCTCTTACCACTATGTTAGTAATTAATGCCATCAGTAATAGTGAACTTCTGATTAACCACAGGAGGAAAACTTCCAATGCTGGTATTCGTAATTAGGGGTTTCCTCCATTGGATCTTTAAGTACAAATCTTGTGCTTTTTTTTTGTTACTAATTCATAATACACATAGTACATCAAACTGTTACCACCTTATCTTTTTAAGAGTAGATTTGTTTTACATTGAAAAGAGATATCCAAAGCATGTATAAATTACTAATAGTATAATTATATAGCTTTTCTTCTGTATGTGTTGTAAACATTTGTCCCCTTCTTATTTCTCACATATTTTTCTTTGGTATCCAGGGACAATCAGACTAGACAAATACAAGATGCTGTTTCAAATGTGGAAAAACATTTTGGTGAATTGTGCCAAATATTTGCTGGATATGTACGTAAAACTGCCAGACTACGAGACAAAGCAGATCTTCTGGTAAATGAAGTATATGCATATGCAGCCACAGAGACACCAAACTTAAAAGTTGGACTGAAAAACTTTGCAGATGAATTTTCCAGACTTCAGGACTATCGCCAGGCAGAGGTACAAAATTAAAGCTCTACATGTTGTGTTTGCCATCTGAACTTTTCAGTCACTTATCTGTGATTAAAAAGGGAAAATATTTACTCTGGTACCACAAGAGTAATATAGGGGAAGACACTTTAAAATGTATTAATGACAGAGCAGGACAGGCTGCCAAAGCATTCATCATTTACTCTGCTAATAACTTTAGTGAAAACTGCCTGTGGTTAGTCCTGCTGAAGTCAGTGGAACTATCCGTACGAGCACTCACACATATAAGACAAAGTCTTTTATTTGTCTTAGGGTTTGGATTATGATTTATGGTTAATAAAGCATTCTTTTAGTTTTGTGACATGAGTTGTCCAGCAGCCGATGAGGTGAAATCAGTCATTTTCCTTCTGCCGAGTCTATTAATAATCAGAAGCAATACAGAAGAGAATGCTACCTGGAATCCAGCACTGGGAACTGACAGCCTGTCTGAAGTGCTGTTGGGGACCACTGTAGAACTACAGACTTATGAAATCAACACTAGAAATACAGACTTGATTTGGACCACGTGACAACATAGTCATGTTTCTTCTCAATAAGTGTGAGTGTAACAAAAGGTGCTTATGCCACTTAACACATCTGTATGCAGGGCCACTCAAACTGTAATTTATGATCCAGAATTCCAAAGATTTAGGAAAAATAAATTCATATGTACTCAAACTGGGTTTTAAAGTACATATCTATTCTTTCAGTAGGGCATAGAAAATTCCTAGTTATAGTTTTGAAAAGCTAAGAAGCATTATAATTGAAAAAAAAAAAAACCCAGCTGAAGTAGCTGACACTTTTGATGTTTTCATACAGGACTGTTTTATTTTTAAGGAAGCATAGCAAGTCTTTCTGTATTAACAAAGTAGAAAAAGAAAACCTTTAAAAACAAGTTAGTAGACTGGATACCTCAAAAATTAAGTAGATGGTTTGAAAAACAAGAAAAACCCACAGATTTTTAAGTGTATTTAGGGCCAGATTTTTAGGAAGGAGAAATCCAAGGCTGTGGATAATGGGATTTTTATTTTCCATAAGTGCTTACGCATCTGGTTCTAGCTAAGCCACACATAGGTCCTTATACTTCAATTGACGCAATAGGAATTTATCACTCTGTTAATGAATTAAATTTATATTATGTCCAAAGGTGTATGTGAAGTCAGACTGCATGACTTCTGTGTCCACTTTCACCTTTAAACAATGAATCTGTAATTTCAAGTTACCTATGTAACAACTTGAGTTATGCTGTTTTCAATTTAAGTGTGTTTTTAAAAACATCTGGCCTGTATCCTCCTGCCTTGCCTGTCCCCAAGCCCCTTTTGAAGGAGAAAAGGCAGAAGCAGCAAAAGAAAAGAGAAGCTTTTATTTAAATCCAGTTCTCCTTTGCTTGTGAAAATCAAATAACCTTAGCTTTATTTCCATTGGGCATCACATTAATAACCAGTTTTCATATACACTGGCATTGTGGGCAAGAGAAAATTAGCTTATAAGGGTTAATGATTTCTGGTCTCCAGCAGCAGTGCTAGATGTATAAATGCTGAGGTATGAGGTACTTGCACAACATGTGGAAGGATAAGTAAGCAGGATGGGGAGGTTATTTGGTATGTCTGTGTCACATGCTTCATTTAGAACCTTACTGCCCTATTCTTTGTATTGGCAGTTTAAGTGAAATTAACAGTTTGACAGTGCACTGGTAGAGAGTAGTAAAGGAGAATTGTTTGCGCAGTCAGCAGAGATTTTGGCTGACTAGCGACTGCCACTTTAAGAGGGGAGTAATGTCTGTCAATTTCTAGTAGAAGTATGTACCTTGTCCTAATTTGGATGTAATAGCAAGGGCCAGATGGTACAAAGTCATCAGCAGCTTATGCTGGGGCCATTTGGGCAGTGTATTCAATTTTGACAAGCAGGCAGGTCTTATCCTATTGCCTGTCTGACCATATGTAGCTGTTTTTCTAACTAGGAGAACTGAAACAAAAATTCAGATGCACTCATCTGTGAGAGCGTTCATGCATTTTACACAACCTGTTGTTGATATTTTTAAGATTTTCGTATCTACGATGCTGTTTTCATTATTTTTAAGAAGTGTTGCATTTCATACAGTATGATTGACAGTTTATGGACTAAGCCATCTTTGCTATCAACAAGTGTAGAGCAAATACACTGATATTTAACTTTAGACAGAAAGCTAAGGATCTCCAAGATGCGGTGTTTGATGTGTTTAGTGCTGCTCAGTTATTAGAATCTCCATGTTC